ACCCCCCGCACGCAGGGCGGCCGTGCCCCCCCGCCCCCCCCCCCCCCCCCCGTAGTTACGCCCCTGCTCGAAGGACGTTGTATGAAAAAATAATATAATCATTAAGTTGAACATATAATCATGTCTGAAGTACCTCTTTGCAACCATTACATTTATAGAAGCAAGCAATTTCTAGCTCGGACAGTAGTTTGACAATAAGTGCTGGACATTTTCGTTCTTTGTATGCTTGACAACGGTTTGGACAGACTTGGGGATGGTTGACCAACCATTGATTAATACATATTGAACAGAATGGCCTCTCGCATGATTGACATGCAACTGGTTTCCATAGTATTTCGCGACAAATAGAGCATTCGACATGGTCAGCCTTAAATCCCGATGATCCACAAACACGATCAGGTGATAAACCTGTTTGTTGGTTAGATGTCATCTATAGAAAAGTGAAATCTCAACGGTGATAACTGGGATTGATGCCTATATGAAGTGTCAATAAAATTTTTCTGTCTTCATACAAATTCACAACCAAATGTATACATATATACAGACGCGATGATACCGACGATGAGTAATTATTTTTCCCATCAACGATATGATACTTAACACTCAACGAAGTCAAAGGGAAATATCAAAAAAAAGGGCTCTTATGTATCTCTTCTATGCAAGTGCTCTAGTGCAAGAAGAGAAAAAAAAACGTTTATGCAGGTGAATTTTGTTGGAAATTACTGTGCAAGCATGATGACGACAAACTCATTCATCGTATTTTGTTTATCTCGCTTGTTTGATCGAAATATTGCTCAATCATGCATGACATTGTTAGATTGCATGAAAACAACGTCTTATGGTACGTTTGTCAATTTTCTTGAATAATATATACTCATTTTTTTATGTATTAATCGCAGGTTAAATTTGACTCAATCTTTTCTGAGAAAAGCATAAAGTCATGAAAATTCATTCCATTGTTTATAAAGCTATCATTTATTTTCTTTAGAAAAAAATAAGTTAAATTGAAGAAAACTTTAGATGAATAAGTAGATTAAGAAACGAAGAGAATATTCTGAGAAAATCTTATCTAATCATGTTCATACCCATGCCAAAGTGCACTGTTCTTTGAAATGATCAGATCATGGATAAAGTTCTTCGAACGTGCCCGTCGACTGCTTAACTTACTAGGGAACCTTCCAAGGTGCGGGAGCGCTTTTCAATCGGGGTTTCGTGCATCTTGTAGCCCGTAGTGAGTTATGCTTACGGTAAAAAAAGTTCGGGTTTCTGGCTTGTTTCTGAG